TCAGACTCTTCAGCAATGAGTCTCGCCTGAGATAACTGTGTCTCGAGCACTGATATCCTATCGTCTTCCATATTTGTCCGGTTTTCCAAAGTTTTTCTAATTCTATGTATCAATTGGTTTATCATTTGAAACATTCATCGCTAGTCACTAATATCTATAAGTTTTAAATGTGTTTTACACATATCCTCAATATGTTTGAGTTATGATTAAGAAGTGGACGACACAAAAGTTTGTATGTGAAGTGACAGAGTAGGTGGTGGTGACTATACGTACCGTTCGCTCTCATCGGCAGCCTGTGAGGCCTCCTCCAACTTACTCGTCGCCACTTTGAGTCTCTCCTCCGACCGCTCTAAGTCCTCTTCGATGAGTTGTATGCGTCGGTTAAGTGCCGCCACATCTCCTTCAGCCTAATGCACCACATATTCAATGAGACAGAGTTTCACGCAAATTGTTTCGCACATGAATTCAACACAAATGTTGACCCGAATTGCATTGCATTGCATTGTATTGAGTGTTACATTAATTCTAAACCATATTCTCTAATCAATACATAATTACATTTGACATAAGTTTGCGAGAATTGAGTGCAGAATCCAAACCAAACTCAATGTTACACATAATTCACGAAAATTCCTGTCAAACGCTACTCGTATTTCATTTGATAAGCGTTTTATTGTCTATTAATTAATGTATTTATTCCCCATTTATTAACTCAAAATAATATTCATTTTTTTCATAAATAAAACAAATATTATGCCAAATATACAAGTATTCAATCGATTGGTTTAATGCAACATTTGTTTGGTTTGACTCATATTTATGGCTCTTATCTCTAAACCATTCACTTATTTCTTCTTAAATTATCTTTCATTTCATAAAAACCATAAAAATATTTTTCTTAAATGTTATATTCATTGAAATCAATCATTAATCAAAGATTTCAACAAAACCCAAGTTATGATCAAATGATTAACTTTTGTGTCAATTGATTGATAAATACGACTAAAAAGTGGTCAAAAACTCAATGAATGAAAGAAAGCTCTAAACAATCAAATGATTGTTTGCTTAAGACTTGTATAGTTTGGGAACAAGTGAGTGATAGTCCAAGAAATGCATTCATATATGAATGGGTGGACTGTGAGGGATGGGCTGATGGTGTGGCCCACAGTCACAGTCATAGCTGTAATGATAACTCACTTCTTCGCGACGTCTCAACTCCTCCTGAAGTTTGAGATGAGTGTCATCTGTGGTCTCTTTAGCCGCTTCCAACTCATCCTTCATTGCCCTCATCTTCTTCTTGAGGACCTCGAGAAGAGTTCCCTGAGTCTGAGCCATGGTTTGGCTATGGACTCACTGGAGACACAACACGGGACACAAACTGTCGTGAGTTAGTTTTGAGTTACATAAAGTGTCGTTTACCAAATTCCAAACTGAGTTGTGAACTAATGTTAGCGGTGTTTACTTACCAAGTGAGTTACCATCCGTTATATTACTTGTGTTTTGGTCAGATACAGTCATACAGTGAACACTACAGTTCATGCAGTAATGCTGTAAATGTCTGACTCTCTAATCAAATCACATTCACTGAATGAAACTGAAGTTTCATTACAGCTTTAAATTGTATGCATTGGGGGACCGATTCATCAACACTAACGCTAACTTATATCATATGATTGAACAACACTTTCTCAATCTTTAACTTTCATAGACTATCAATGATATGCTTAATAATTAGTTAATATTAATTTAGCTCATTGTTGCCTACAATTAATTCACGAACAAAGCAATCTCTTACAAGGAGTCACCATTATATTGGTCTATGGCTTAAGAGGTGATCGAAGGGCAGTGAGGGGTGTGGGGGATGTCAGTGGGAAGGGAGTGATGATTGCATAGCATAACTGTTTAAGTCTGAACATTGAGTTGTAAACTATTGGAAAGTTGTGGAGAACCTGCAAAACGGCTTAATTGAGAAGTTTTGTCGTTGAGGTCATTGTAATTATATATTATATGACAAAAACCAGATTTACTTATCAATACACTTAACCATTGCTTTGCTAAACAATGTCTTTCCACCCGTTCCTCACTTTAATTACTTGAAAATTAGTTTTAAATTAGTTTTAAATTAGTTTGACTTTACTTTTAACCATTCATTTGAAACATATTTTAAGCCAAGAATAGCTTAAAAACAATTACCAATTGAATAGAAATGGTTAAACACTCTCAAGTATAGGTGATATGTCTTGAAATAGTGGACACACTTTTAGATGCAATCATTCTTAGGACAACTGAACACTTAATTAATGAATCATTTGTTTGGATCTAAGCATAGATTGCATACCCTTTTGATGATAACGTTTTGAATGTTTTTTAATTCATTAGAAATTAGATTCAATTTCATGAGAGTTCCCGTTTTGTAGCCGCTTAGTTTCCGGTCTGGGCCTATAGGCCGTGAGCCGACAGCCAAGGCAGCCAAGGCAGAGACTTAGTCAAGGCAGACTTGTGATCTTGTCGCTTCTGAGCGTTTGAGAAGCGAGGGATAATCGGTTCCATCGGGTTGTGGACCATCGCCATCACCACTACCATCCCCACCACCATCGCTCCCATCAGCAGCTGTTCTCTGGACGAGTGGCTCTTCTAATCGGCCTTTCATTGGTATCCCAAGCGATCGTATGTTATAATGGATGCAAATGTATGTCTTTGTCGAGCATTTAATGTCCAAATGATTGCTATGTTTTGACTCTCAATAATCTTCAGTGTTATCACAACCAGTATATCAGATATGACTTCTCAATGACTTATCAATTCATTTCAATTCATTTCAATGACTATTGCATTAGAACTTAACAAATATTGTTATCATTCAAACATTCAATGCATTTGTTTTGATATCATTTACTTATTATAACATGTTTTGTGTAGTAATTAGTAAAGAGACTAAAATTAGATGCAAAATATATTGTATTTTGTATTAATACTGTATATAGAAATGTACTGTTTAAAAGTTATAACTTATGGTAAGTTAAAGTGTTTGAATTGTAAGTGTCGGATATGAGTAAACAAAGTTATGAAATATTGAAATAAAATATGTTTAAAGTATGTCTGAATGGAAAGTTTAAACACTAATTCAGAATTTGAATATTGATCAAAAACTACACAAAACCGTTTTGAGCTCTGAACCAAAGCCCATAACGACACTTTCCGCAATGTGTTGGTTTTATTTGTCGTGATGTCATATCGAATGATAGGTATGGTAGCCCTGAGAGAGAGCACAGTTAGCTCTGTTAGCACTGATCAACGAAGGTTAGCGTGGTTTAATCCTAGTGAGTGCAGTAGTGTTCTTGAATAAATCACGAGTAATCTAGAGCGCTTCTGTATAATTCTCGATTAGTGATCAAAGTGGTAATTTAGCAAAGATGCTTATATTTTATGTTTCTTTTAGTTTTCATTAAATCAATCAATTCTCGCCAATTAATCATTTATATAGCAATTGTAGTTTCAATTAATTATTCATATGATACACACATTTAATGTTTTTCAAGTTTTGATAAGTTTTTGAAACTCGGAGTGAGCTTTTCAGGTTTACAGAAATAACATGATATCTAAAAACTAGTTTGCAATGCAATACGATTCTGGTAATGGTTTTAGAGATAGACTCGGATGTAGTGTTGAATACATAGGAATACAAGAGAATAGACCCCTTATTCTTATTCAACCACACTGAATGCCAAACCTCATTGAAGAGGAAGAGGAGCTCGAACAACAACCGGACTCGGTCACTAAGGACCTGGACTAGGTTGAGTAAGAGCTAGACGACCTAGAAGATCTGGAGGGCTCGCACTTCCTCCTCGGACTGAATACAGGAATCCGTTATGAAAAGACATGTTAGACAACAAATAAGCCAATCGTCACCTTCTCGGCCCTCAGATTGGCGTCTCGTGCGCCCTGTTCTGCGGTCTCAGCCCTATCGACCGCGTTATCCTTTTCCAGTTTCATTGCCTGCATCTTCTTCTTGATTGCCTCCATTTTGGTTCACTTGTTGTTGATTTGTTCACACGATATAAAGAATGTACGGCCGAAGCAAATCACTTAACACAAGACTGAGGCGAGAGTTGTCTACCGGTGCCACTGATTGCACGAAAGAATCCCAAGAAACTGAGGACTGAGTAGAGGATGAATATATTGGTATAAGAGATGCTGGAGTGGGATGTGGTTGTAGTTGTGTCCCACTGACGATGCGCTCGCTTTTCGCTAATTCAGGAGTTATTCCAATAGTTTTTTGACTAATTTTGGCACTTATTATAAGTTTGAATAACTCTTCTCTTACTGATTTGATGCAAGTTTTATTGTAATGAGATCTCAATTCAACTCAATTCCTGTCGGACTATTCAAAGTTTGACCATTTATTTTGCAATGGTCCATTGTAATCAATAGAATTGTGATTTAATTTATTAAAATAGTTGTCAACTATAGCTTATACTATATTTAGCAATGCTTTGAGAACTTCTATTTTGAGAATAAGACAGTTATGAGCACTCAGTCACCCAATTGGTTAACCGATGTCTTCACAAACAGAGAATGCGTGACATCATTGGGTATCAAATATCTGCTCTCAGTCTAAGAGTTGCGTTGAATACCAGAGCAGAAAATAAGATCAAATACAAGACAACTAATGAGCAAAGAATTAGAATTTGTTTACATTATGACTACTAACTCCTTATTGTATGCCTATTCAGCTATTCTTATAACTCAATGAAAATACAAAACAAGTGATAAACCATTCATTGGTTGAAAAATTCGTACGAAATTTATATCAATTTATTTCAAATGATTCAAAACAATATTTAAATTAAATGATACCACGATTTTGAACTTAATTAATAGAAAAATAACATAGATTTAATAGTAAACACAATTAAGATGACTTCTTAAGATACTCGGCCGACGCTGACTCGTATTCATTGGCTGTGAAAAGGGATGGATTTCGCTCCAAATACCTGTCATTGCAATCCGTTTAAAATAAATTCAAATCAATTCTGTGGTCGACTTACTTAAGAAAGTCGTGAATGTGATCTAAAATCAAATGAGAGCTCTTTTCATCCAAATTCAGATAAGAGAGAAGTGATCCGAGTTTTACTGTTTAGTAAATATAACAAAACCATTAGTCTCTCGATTACACAAAGCCTTTAATTATAACAACAGACCAAATAATCTCAACAAATGAATGCCGCCATAGATTGCAGAGGCCTTTGAGTCGTCGTCGGATTCTTTGATCAGATCCTTGAACTGAATTTTCTCGAAAGGATAGAGTAGTTGAGTGCCAATAGAGGCGTTGAAGTAGACTTTGATGGCTTCGGCCCCTTCCCTGACGGCACTCTCTTTGCTCGGACTAAGTCTTGTGTTGAGTTGATGTTTGACGTAATCCTCAACAATCCGATTGACCGACACTTTCGATGGCAAGCGAACCAATTTCTTGAGACCCATTAGATCGCAATCATCGACCAAACACTGCTTCAATGACTCGGGAATCTTGATTTGAACGTCGGGTCCTCTGCTGGAGATAATCACTTCAGAGTCGAGAGTAGTCTCCACTTTAATCCTCTTCTTCCTCTGGCCTTCAATTTCCTTCAAAACAATGGAATTCTCTTTCGTTTCACAACTGATCGCTGGAAGAGTAGCTAAACCTAAAGCATTGGTTGGCTTTGGCTTAGGCTTATCGAAACCAATGGACACATTAGGAGACATCACTTCTTTGTCTTTGGGATCAATTAACTTCTTTTTGGCGCTCTTCAGCAGTTTGTTACCCTTACTATAGTTATAACCATTTGATACTTATTATCACTTCTACAACAATCACCGCTAATACAATGAAGACCCGGAGATAATTGAGGAAAACGAAGACTTCGCGGTTTAGTCAATAGAATTCTTGAGACAGGAGACCTTGGGTAAGCAGGGTTGATAAGTAAAGTATATTTTGTTCATATAGTCGGTAACTTTCGCAGATAATTCAAAATAATTGTTAACAACTTATCACTCAAGAAAATTCAGTCTCATTAGTGTTACAGACATGTGTTCACTGATTGACAATATTTGTGCCAAATATAGCCAATGAGTCATTTGATCAATATATGAATCAATGGTCACAAATGATAGCCTCAATTAAATGACAACATTTGTAATACCGATCAAACTAAATATAGCGACAATTAATGGCAGCTAAACGCAACACTAGACCCATATGGTGAGGGTTACCACGTTAAGTGCTCATAAGTATAGTATAGATTATACTGTCATGTCATCAGATTGATATCATATCACGGCATATACATTTTGGCCAGTTTGTGAAGTACAGACCTAATCTCACTAACCACCGTTACTCACGAATGAGTGGCAAAGTGAGCACATGTGGGAACACCTACTTCTTACTCCATCCCTTCATTACCTGCTTTATCAGCTGTTGGGAAAGAAACCAGAGAAACAAGAGGAAGAGGGCTGAGAAGACTTGGATAACAGTTTGTTTACCACAGCAGTCACTTAGTCACTATGTTACTCACCACTGGTTCGATGGCACAGACCTTTGCTTCATAAAGGAGTGGTCCGTGAAAGCAGAGGACCTTCTCATCTGAAATAGCATTCAATGAATCATTAATTCATGAATCAATGGTTTGTTTGGATTGATGGACACAAGTGTTGATTAGCCATCACTTCAACTGATTGTGTGATTGAGCACCAAATGCATGGTTTGCTTGGATGGCAAACTGGCAAACAAGAGGGGATCAGTTGTGGTGATGATTGTGTCCAACAAACCAATTCATTCATACTTTCGTGGAATTTGTGGCTATTTTTCGGCATTTCTTTGGCTTTCAATTCAATTGATTTTGTTTTCATTCACTTTTACTCATAAATAACGTCACAATTAATGCCTTCTATTATTTGCCCCCAAAATAGTCTCCAAAATAAATTGAATTTAACTATAATTTAGTGATTCTTACGAATGAATGACTTAATTGAATGGATAGTACAGTGAGTATAGACATAAGTCTATCACATGTTTGTGCCGTTAATTGCGTTGAAAATGTTGGCCACAAGTGATGCGAGTGTTTGCGGTGTAACTGAAATCAAAAGTTGTAAAACTGAACACAACATCAATTAATTTGGATGTAATAGAGATGTTTAAATAATTTTATGTATATTTAGTTAGTTTTAAATGACAACTACTGTATGTGCACTGTATCAAGCTAATGTTGCATTAATATCTAATTCCTTGTAAATTATACAAGTAAAGTCACAGTGAAACCGGAGATAAGTGTTTTTATCTGTGTAAATGTACTGGTACCACTAAACATACTGGTAACTGGGATTTAACCTCAAATTTACGTTGACCATGTTACTTTAATATACCTTTAGCATACGATTGGTCTACTTTGAAACATATGTTGGGAAACCTCCTATCATACTGTATATAACTGTAAGTATTTTAATGATTAAATAAAATGTAAAACGATAATTGAATGCAACATTTATTTTTATTTTTTTATTTGCATAAATTGAATGCATTTTTTATATATCAATTATAAATCAATAAACAATTTTACAATTTTATAAACCTATCATCAAATTGGCTGCGAATTAATTTAAGATCTTATTTTACATAACAATACTTAAAATGAAGACATCGTATAATTGGACAAAATTGAGAGCAATAACCATAAGTTATCACAATATTGTGAATGAGAACTGGAAGTCTACTTGAATGGAATGGTAGGTACAGTCCATATGCAGCCCATACTCTCCACAAGTAAATTATTTATGAGTTATGAAGTGATGAGAAACACTTTAATTCACTCTCTTTAGTATATAAGCAAAATAATGGCACTTTTCAGGCGTTTTATACATTTTTTTGTATTCGACAACAAATTATTATAACGAGTAAAACAAATGAAATGCCAAAATGTGAGCATTTTTGCACTTTTCTTATTATATTATTATTCCGATTATAATTATCATAATTGAGAAAAACTATCAAAAATATAAATAATTAAAAATCAATTTTCATTTAAACACAATAACAGAAATTGTTTTAAATAAATGTTTAGGAAAATATAGAAATATATGATTAAAGATTGGAAAATAAAGTGCCAAACGATTAGTAAAACAATGAGTTTTGTAAGATTTCGAGTCAAAGCTATTTTGTGAGCAAATTAAGTATTTTATAAATATAAGAGAATTGCTATTAAATCACAATACGATTGCTTCAAATATATGCTTTGCAAACAAATACTTAAACAAAATATTATTAACATTTAATTTTTAATATTAATTTCAATTTATTTGTAATTCTAGAGATGTTTCAATCCTTAAGAGATACTTAATATATAGGTTTATAATTTCATACAAAGAATAAAAGTAAATATTTCAAAAATGTTATAAAAATATATTTTATATTAATTTCAATTTATTTGTAATTCTAGAGATGTTTCAATCCTTAAGAGATACTTAATATATAGGTTTATAATTTCATACAAAGAATAAAAGTAAATATTTCAAAAATGTTATAAAAATATATTTTGTTAAATTCGTGATAACTTAATATTTAATTTGAAAATCAATTCCGTGTTGTAACACTATATTACAACTAATAATACTATTCAATAAATGAATTAAAGCTTAAAAGTAAAACTATGTATTAATGTACAGTACAGTAATGGGCATAAGTTTTTGCTAACCATTACTGTTAAAAACTCATTGAAATAATACTAAATCGAGTGGCGCTTAACAAAAGTAATTATGAATTTGGATTCAATTCCTTGAAAATTGATTCAAAGAAAAAATATTTGAAAAATAGTTTGCGTTTTGCAGAAGTTTTGCAGAAAAATAGAATAGATTTTATAATATAATAATATATTTGCTGTCAAAAGGTTTTGATGAGTCGAATGAAATAAAAATAAAATTAAAAATAAACAAAACCATAAGTCCGTAGCCAAAGCAGGGGTTCATCATCTTGAAGACAATCCTTTTTAGAAAATAATCGGTCAATTGAGGGGTCGTTTCAGTTAATTAAAACTAATTTTGTGATCAAATCAGCGCTGTTTGTGCTCTGCGTTACTTATATATATGTAAAACAAATTTCCAATTATTATTCTGACTATTATTGACATTTGTTTGCATTAAACATATTGTAAATATACTGAATCATCAAATGTGTTCAAATGTTGTCTTAAACACACGGTAGCATAAATGGGTTCATTTTGAAACAAATTAAAAATCTTTCAAGAAATAAATAGTATTTTAAAACAAAATATAATAATTTAGAAAAATATATATCATTCAGATTTAATTGAAATCCAAAAATATTGGCAAAATTTTCATGCAAAATGTGTTGACGAGAATTTTGTTTATAAAAACTAATTAATTTAATCAAAATTATTTGGAAAGAGATTTGGATTATGGCGTTCATTGACTAGCGGTTTACCCATAAAACCGTTAGAAACTAATACTTTATTCCTATATTATTCTTGCATTTAAGGCTTGAATTAAATACAAAAATAAATGCATTTCAAGTATAAGCTCTCCTCTCAATCAAACAATTCATTCAAATATATTGTTTGCGTTAAATTTGGGAAATTTTGCGAAACTTTGCGACTGAAATTATTAAATGTTAAAATCTCAATTAAATTAAACAGCTTTTAGTGTCAATAGTATCCACAAAACGAATAATACGTTCAAAAGTCAGAATCAATTGTTTTGATTATCAAACATAAGACTAGGAGAGCAGTCGTTCCTTTCTTTTCCACAAAATAATTATCATTTCATTGAAAAAATATCGATATCTGAGGAAATATTTGACATTTCATTTACGAATTCATTTAAGAATTTTAAAATAATAGAGTATCGCTTCTCATGAGTTTTTATCTGTTTTAAGTTAATATGAGAACAAAAAGTCGTTTAAATTTGATTTTTCTTAATGCCTCTGTATTTACAGTGTATGGGAACTCCATTAGAAAAGCAATAATAATAAATCATTAAATTATTAGCAAAACTATAAGTAAAATCAAATATAAACGACTCGTTGATGTATAAGTGAATCCATAAGAAAAGAGATATTTTGAAATATATCTGACTTTCAAATGAAAGCAAATAGACTTAAAAGTTCATTAGTGCTAAGAGATGGGGTTTGACTTGACTTGAAGTTTGTGAGGCAATCGATTCTTTTCCTTATGATAATTGCGGTCATAATCGACGACAAGAGACTTAATGTGAGCTAATTTGTCGTGAAGATAGAACATCCGTTTGCGACACTTCTGAAACTTCGGACAGTTCTTCGTCTCCTCATATTCTCTAACGATTTGATCCATTAGTTTCTGAATCAATCATAACAAGGCTTTATTCACTGCAACAATAATTCAATTGTTTATAAAACCCTTACATTCCAGTCATCAGATCCTTCAACTTTAGTGTTGAGACGTATTTCCAGTTCCGAGAACTTTGAGGCCACGTTCTCGACATACCGGTGCAGTCGCCTGTACTCTTCGTATTCAATATAGAAGTCTTTCTTGTATTGTGCCCTTTGCTCTGGAGTTACGATTTTCGTGTATTTTCTGATTATCACAATAAGGAATAATCAACAGTTAATAAGCCGTATAAAGCTCTTACAAATGAGGGTTCAATCAAACTTACGTTAAATAGTCGGGCATTTCGTCGTTCGCACAGAGAGTGTATGAGTTTGAAGAGCTCAAAGTGCTTCCGTCGTGACTACCGGTGCCGCTGTCGGGACTTGAGTTTGGAGAGGAGTTTATAGAACCGGATCCGTTGCCATTCATATGGTAACCATTGCTTTTAAATCGATTAAAAGCATCTCTTTTATGACTTTTTCCAAAAGTGTTTTCATTAGTGATATAATTGACAATACGATTGCTCTGATTGTGGAACTCTTGTTGTGATAAACAAAGTGAATTGGAATCGGGAGATGAATGACTCGTATTTGTAAGCAATGACTCTATGCCTGCGGTTGTGGTGGTGTTGAGGACAGCACTTGGGTTGGACTCTCTCTCAGGACTCGAAGGTTTATTAGCCCAACCGTTGAGCAAATGGTTGTATCCATTCGTTTTGAGTTTAGTGGTAGTCGTCGGGGACTTTGTATTATTGTATGACTCATTCAAATTCACTAAAGGTTTCTGTTTTTTGGCTACAGATAAAGAAGTGGAACTGTTGTCAGAACTCCTCTTATTAATGGAGGGACTCTTCGGGCCTAAGGGAGAGCTACAGTCCATACTCATTGGCGATAGATAGGCGCCCATTGATCCGCAGTCAGACAGCGGTGATATGCTGTTCTGTGTGGGAGTTGTGGTCAATGTGTTCCTCTTCTTAAGTGAATCCTTCTCATCGGTGGTGCAGTCCATGCGATCGGCACTCACTTCACTCCAACCAGTTTTAGACAATTCGTAACCATTCTCTTTACACAACGATATGTCGTCTAATATACAATTCAACTCTTTTTTGTCGATATCCTTAAAGCCCTGGTTTGACAACATATTCATGAGTTCCGACTTCTTTAAGGGACGCAATGCTAACAACTGGACAACACTTTCACGAAGAGTTTTGTTGAGTTCATTAGAATTCGTATCATCGGTTGGACTTAAGTTATTATTATTAACATTAGTTTCACTTAAATTACTATTACTACTAATAATTGCATTTGTGTTTGTGTTTGTGTTTGAACTACTGATTGAGTGATGGCTGACAACAGTCTTATGGTTAGGAATGGCGTTAATGGTATTGCCGTTGAGTTTGAGCGTTGGAGGAGAATTAGATTTACTGCAAGTGTTGTTATAATTATTATAACTGCTATAACCGGGTTGTGGTGGTTGTGGTAGTGATTCTGGTGTGGATTGTGGCTGAGAATGAGGTACGGGTCGGTTCGTGAAGGGATGGCGCTTTACTTTGACCTTTCGGCCGACGTTAGGATCACTAGCTTTGATCACTTTGGTGCTATACTTCTTGCTCTCCCTCTCGACGACAGCCATTTTCACTTTAGTCGAATGATAGCTGTCGTCATTGGCATGGATTTGCAATTTATAGTCAATATCACCAAACGATTCCATACAGCGGTTCTTCGACTGCCGGATGCATTCAAAGCTGCCCTGAGGTTCGACTGCATCCACATTAGACAGAGTGAAACTGAATTGCTGTCTGTCCTCATCCAAAGTACTTCTTTTGCTCGGAATACTAATCACCTGAACAACAGTCCCAATCATATTAGTTATTATAATGTCATGTCATGTCAAGTCTATCGTGTTTCAAAGTACTAATTGCCTAATATATTGCAAAACAAGTGTGTTTTTCAAATGCTTTTTGCTATTAATGTTTACCGTATATTGAAATGAAATAAAAAGTGATCTAAAATTAAATGTATTCTAAAATACAGGCAATAATGGGATTGAAATGAAAATTGAGAATAAATAGCTATTTATGTCCGCATTGAACATAAGTGCCATCACTTTATGAGCACTCGGTCTCACTCGGGCTCCCTTTTGACCCACTTTTCATTTCAAGGAAGTTCAATAAACCTGATAATAGGTCGACAATACATGCCATTTACCATTCTATGCTATACTATGTTTATAACACTAAAACTCCGATACATCTCATGTCTGATCCAAAACACAAACCGATATTTCACTCACTTATTCTGTTAATCCATAATTATTTGAATGCTATCATCACTTAAAATATTCAATCACTATTGGACTCTCATTTTTAGGGATATATCGGACTTAACGTGACCTCAATTAGTAAATAAAGTATTACTTTCTTAATATTAAAGAACAACTTAAAAGCAATGTATGATCAGTACGATTGAGGCAAAAATGCTGTCAATCGACTCATAAATAATCCATTAGTTATAATATGCGTTAATTGAGTAGAAAATATATTTATGTGTATAACTGTAATATGCATAATATTGTAGCTTTTATTTATTTTTATCCAGTTCTCCAGTTCACATGATATTGGATGTGTTTAGTGTGAGGGGAGGTTGGGTGCAGACACTTACCCCTTGAGAATCCTTTGAACGAAACTCAATCGATGGCTTGGAGTTCGGGCAAACGTTTCCCTATTTGTATAAAATAAAACATTTTAAAATTTAAATTGTAATTAAAAATAGAAAAATAAAGTTTGTTTTGCATTAAAACATTTCGTCATAATTAGGTTTTTGTCACATTTCAGGTTTCGGATGTTTTCAGTCTCTGTATTACGAGCATTGAGTTCAGCTCTGGGCATAAATAGCATAAATTTACATGCGTTTGAGTGCCATAAAACGCAAAACCATGTTTGCCACTAAAATTCACTGTACTTCTCATAATATACTATTTAATTTAATTCATTGAATTAATCATTCAGTGGTCACTTTAGTGGTCTTTTTTGTGTTGAAAATTATAGCAAATTGTAAAAATGTAATCAATTGCTTATATGGTGATATTTAATTGATAAAAAGTATACAATTATGTAAACTTGCACTTTTATTGAGTATTAATTAAGCTAAAGAATACTGTTGGCAACAAATAAAAAATGATTAATTAAGTTAATTGCATTAAAATTTTTATAATTAAATCTAAATTTTGCATTAATCAGATATTACTGTAAATAAGTAATATAAGTGATACATTTGTAACTTATTGGTAGTGATACTGTAACTGTATTGAGTAATATTAGTACAAATTACAAGAAATGTGAGAAAACAAGTTATAAAATAAATTATTAGAGTATTTTTCAAAGTAATAAACAGTACACTATTTCTTTGCATTGATTAATGCAATTAAAATCAATAATTAAGGGGAAATATCTGTCACACTATCGGTCACACCAATTATTAGTCTATTTTGTCTATCAATCAAAACTCAATAATAATTTATTACAAATAAATGTGTTTTTCACTTGTTTTTTCAATATATGTTTTTAAAGCAATTATTTTTTAGATGTTTTTCATTAACGAAATGAATTTGAAAATTAATCGCAAATATCTTTTGCAGAGAGAGATTGAAAAGAAAAAATTAAACAAAACTGGTTTGCAGTGAATACCAGCTTTAGTTTATCGATAAAATCATATATTTATTCACTTTTCCTCTTTAAAACATTTTTATTTGTTAATCAAAAATCATTTTTAATTTCTAAAATAAGTTCAAAAACCAATTCATTTGAACATTTTATATACAATTTACTGATCACTACTCCACAACTTATCGCACAATCACTTTATATTCAACTCATTTTCACACTATTATGACTATTATGACAAACTTTACAATAACATAGTGTTTGCAATCCATTTGTTATTATTAGACAACATTTTCATTACAATTAGAAACTAAATTAAAATAATAATAAAAAATAAAAATAAAAGCAATAAAACGAGAGAATGAAAGGTAAATACAAACTGAAATAAAACAAAATGTAGAAAATGTTGAATGAATAAGAAATGTCGAGTTAAGCGAATAGTGTATACAATATTTGGTACACTATTTACACAGATATGTCTGATTGTACTGCAGTTCTTGTAAATCAGATGTCATATAAAGTGATCTAAATTTAGTCAAAAAACACTCAATTATATGAAATTCTTGAGACATTAATCAGTGAACAGTATGTTTTAAAAACGAAACTATTTTTCAGACATTAGTTATTAATTTAAAATAGTGTAAGAGTTTTATCTAATATTAGATAATACAGTGAGATATAGTCATAATTGTCAGCAATAAATGTTGAGAAGTATTGAATTAATTAATGGATTAAAATTAAGAGATTAAGAGCACAAAGTATTGAACTTTAAATAAATGTATAGTTAATCTCAAATTATTTGATGCCTTTTACACAACTGTTTTGCGATAAGTATTTGCGATAATAAGCAAAACCTAACTAATGTTAATTGCGATAAGAATTAATTCAAATCAATATATAATTGCAATTCATTTCAGACATATTTCTTAGCAATTATTAGGAAATCACGTCAAATTCATGTCCGAAACTAACGGCTATTTAAATGTCATTTGACAGCAACTGGTGTCTCAATTGACTGTCGACTCAATGGACGCAATGTTTGACACATTTGAACGAAAAGCACATTCAATGCGAGACAACCTCTGAGTCGTGATCTCTTTGTGGCCACCAATAGGTCACTCTCACCGACACTACTGCCACGAAATGTCACCGAATGACCCATTGGTGCGCACAGTGACCACAAGCTCGCAAACAGTGGCACAGATGGTGACAAATCATACCTTATGATTGAGATAGTCTTCGATGGCTTTGAGGGCAGAATCGGTGAGTTTGACGAAAATCAAAGACTTGTTGATCGAGTGATTGAGATGTGATGTGAGAGCATATTGTTGGCCCTCAACCAGAGTCGCCATCACTTCCACTCCTATCACCCAACTGTCCCACACCTGTCCAACGGCGATGTCTCGTGTGTCTGTGTCTGTGCTCGTGGTGACCAGTGAGTGGTGATGTGGTCAGTGGTCAGTGGATGTGGTGAGCGATGGTCTCTTGTGTGCACTCAATGTGTTTGAGTCGTATATAACGTAAGCGAAGGTTAGCTCACATTCACTGCAAACACCAAAACATTCATTCATTCACTCATTCACTGCATTCACTGTACTGTTGGCCACAAAACACTGCTCACTGCCTAACACTGCATTCAACATACAGTACAGTATATCTAACATTCACGACAACACTAACCAATACTACAGCGCTATACCCAACACTACTCAATGCACAACACCTCTACCCATACACTTCACTCACTGTCACTTGACTGCAAATTCCCTGTCGGGGCACCAGTTTTGCACTAACTTTACACTTATATACAGTTTAATACCGATAGCATTAGTTTAACCAACATTACAATTAATTCAGTTTTGCATGAAACACATATAACTTAATGAAAACTAAAAAACTTAAAATATTTAATTTGTAAAAGTACTTTCAAAAGTTTTTAAATGAACTTAGAAAAAAATTATTAATATTCATTGCCGAATCCGATCCAGTTTGTGCCCCTTTCAATCACTATTGACTTCTCTGTATAGCGCCTTACAGTGCAGATTATTGTTGAAATATGACAGCAAATAAGCAGTGAAAGCAACTCTCGTTAAGTGACAAAGTGGTGCACGAGAATGGAAAAATGTGCCCTATCTTAGTGGGGTAATCAATTGTGGGCATATATACGGTATATATGTTAGGGGATGAGAGCGCTGTAAGAAATGGCACACTATATGGCTATTGATATACAGTATGTATGGCTTTGGAAGGAAGTGTTGTGTGAATATAGGCCACAACACTGTCAATACAGTCAGTCATACACTGCTCGCATAGTCTACGCACTTGACTGTCTGTAAACCATAATGACGTCGGTTTACGACTAACTCTCTGTCACTACAATACGGACCCAAAGAGTTGATTATATAATTGATTGTCTGTTGTTTGGAGTGAAGCAACAGTTGAGCACATTATCAGCTAATCATTTATTCACACAAAACCATTACTTCACTCATTTACATATCATTTAATTACTATTAATTGTTTGACTTTTTATTGGAACTTAAGTTTAGGAGAAATACATAAACTTTTTGAAAATACATAAACTTTTTGACAAGTTTTGCAACAAAATAAGCATTCAATAAAGGAACAAATATTAAGCGGATTGTCATAAAACATCTAATCTGACACTTATGACGATAACTTGTATCATATTATCACTTATTAATTATGAGACAAACACTACAATAGCATTGAAACTCTACAAAGAAATCATATTTTTTTAATAAACGATTCACATATATATTGCATACAATTTGTTAAGAAATACAATATTCGTTGTTATAATAAACAGTTGATTACAATTTGAACTAAAGTACAAATCAGATTTTATTATAATTATCATAACCACTAAATTACAATTGTTTTTAAGGTTACAAATTTAATCCGAAACATGTTATAGCAATGAAATCCACTCTAAAACTAATGAAATTTAAAACTTTAAACAATTTCTCTTCGAATTTAGAATTATTTCCATATTTTTCGAAAGTAAAACATAATTTAAATATTGATTACTAAAAGTAAATACTTGTAACTGGGTATAAGATAAACTTTTGGCACAAAATCTTCAAATAGTACTATGAATTTATAATCAAAATATAATTTTAAAACTAACTAAACGGATACTAAATTAATTAAGAGTGGAATATAATTATCCTGAATACAAGTTATCATAATAAACGGAATCTTAATATACGGTAATATCAATGCAATACTGATTATACGTACAGTATATATAAAATACAATAATTTTTATTCTGAACCTCTGATTATAAGCATTGAATTGAATATAATATACTTTCAGTCGCGCTTCGCTAAAGGATAACAAGAAAAAAAGTTCAATTAATATACAGGTATTCATGACAGGACTGCAACTATACCTTCGTTATAGACCTTATCGACCAACCCTTTAGCGGTTCCGGCGGCAGACGACAGAGTGTTGTCAACGTTGTGATGGTGTCTCAAGAAGACGGGACGAATTACTCGCAAATATATATAATTTGAACCATTGTTTTGAATGGGAACGAAACACCAGACAAGGAATACAACCTTTAATTAATGTCAATCACTATTACTCTATTGTATTACACTATCAATGCATGTCTTTAAAAAGTCAATTCTTTAGCCTTTTATCAAATCAATAGTCAATTGTGTGAATAGTTGTCACATTTGTATAAGTCTTAAGGTTAGCACACCTTTGGGTTTGATTGAAAGCGTTTTGTGTATTAGAGGCACTAATTACTCATAGAAAGCATGCTTTATCCAATACTTTTGGTTTTTTGCAGATTCTTAACACTTATTAAAAATGGTTTCAATGAATAATAGAAAACGGATGTAAATTAATAAAAACTGACTAAATATTAATAATCAACAAAATGTTTAAATTGACAAAAACACATTTAAATGTCAAAACACTTTGCTATTAATAAATGTTGACATTGATAATGAAATGTTTTGTTTAAATGTAATATTCCGCTATTGTATCAAGCAAACAGAATTAAATTATAATGATGAGCTTGTTCATTTTGCAATTTATCAAATACGGTTATTGACTTATCAATAGAAAACATGCCGTTTAAGTAGATTAATAGCACTGTTGCAATTGTAATTGTATACAGTGTACCGTAATATAATTGTATGCTTGTATCTGATATAGTATTTCAAATGAAATGCAAATTATAAATATTTCTAAACTGTAATCATTTTCTAAAATGTGAGTTAATATGACTAATACTGAAAGGCATGTGAAATATATAGTGAACAGACAACAGACACTAAAATAGGAAACTAATAGAAATGTGGAAATAAAGCATAAATCAAATATTGAGACAATTGTTTGGATGCGACGGAAGTATAGAGTGATGGTTGGGTTGAGTTGAGGGGAAATGCAAGAGTAGTACTGTATATGACATATACCTTAACCAACCAATAGAGCGGAAACCAACTGAAGATGAAGTCCGAGAAGAACTCAAAGACAGAGAAGAGGGCGAAGACAACCCAATACGTCAACCATTTCGTGTCGTCCTCTTTGTGCATACTCTCGAGAGCTTTGATTCTGAATTATCACTCAATGGTCAGTGAAACACAGGCATAGAGTCATGTGATTGAATACATACGAAGCATAGGCCGGGTATATAAAGCCAACCAAATTGCAAACCAATTCAGCGAAGTGTCCGAATATCATGTAAATGGCCACTAATCCCATGAGACCTGTCAACAGATGCAATAAGCAATGGTAATCAGTGGTAATCAGTGATAATCAATGGCAGGGATGGCAGTGTTGGACATACCCTGAGCCACATAAATGCGTTTAACTCCAGCGGTCTTCTCGATCTTCTCGCCGATGTCTGCAATGCGTCCCGAAGTGTGCAGACATTTGTCCAGAGATTGGATCAATTGGTGGTAGAATTGAGACATAATTGATACGAATTGAAGAAGTGATCAAATGTTTGATGAAAACCAATGCAATGAATGAATGATTGCTTTGTTTTCACGCTATAGAGGAGGCAATCGTTTCACTGCAAACACCTCTACGCTAACAGTAAGTCACGAAAAGGAAACTCTGATGCAATCCCTACCAAAAGTGTTGTCCTCACAAAGTTGGGACGGGAGGGAGGACTACGGGTTTAACCAGTCATTCAATGCACTCATCGCCAACATCATACAGTACTATCATTTAGTATTGTTTAGTATTTAAGTTAATGTTTATGTATTAACCTAAACTAGATTTACTCTTAAACATTACATGCTTAATGTACACTAAATAATTTGCGTTAAACGTGAATGGCATAAAGTTGATTAATTATAAATTTAATACTCAAAATTACATAAAATTATTCACATCTCATTTTATATATCCTTAATTGTAATCTAAAGTAAACAAATTTAAGTTAAATTATTTGGGTATTGATATCAAATAATAATTAGAAAGACTTAGTGTTCCCATTAGGGAAGGGGAGGGGAGGAGCTATATATAAGTGGGAATCCCTGGCAATAGGCAAACATGAATGAAAACATTGTAAACAGAGTTTGATAGAGATTTTGAACAAATTATAGGTTTTTGTGTTTTGATTGCATTTTAATGTCATTTCAGTCTAAGTTTGCAGAATTTGTGAGAAGGGATCAAACCATGACTTCCAGACATTCAGACACTCATACAGACCATACGGACACCGATTCAGACCTCACACACCATCGCAACAACTATTTGAACAGATATTCAAAACTTAAGAAGAGATGCGATGCCATCAAATCAGACAACGAAAGACTCATTCAAAACATCCATCAAATGAAGACATTATCTCATAAATACAGACAACAAAAGAAGTATACATTCATACCATCCATACATTCATTGATATCAATACTTATGTCTGATTTGTGTCCACAGGATTATAATTAAACGATTGGCTAAACATAGAGATAATTATATGAGTTATGATTTACCACTCTTTCTGGAGGTCCACCACTTCATTGCAGTCTTTGATCTGATGTTTAATTAATTGTAATTATGTTTGCATTGAATGAACAGAAAGATGAATCAATAGCACAACCATCGAGTGATGTGAAGACTAAGCATTTGATGAGCAAATCCAATACAAACACCACAAACATGACATCAAAAGCCAAAAAGTCAAAACCAAATGCGAGTCGAAATGAGATCACTTCCAACGGAACCGTTTATGTCGTCCCCAAAAAGCCTATCAATCCATACCTCCTGTTCTGTCAGGAGAATAGGAGTTCATTACAAGAGAGATATCACATTAAACACAATGTATTTGTTTTAAACATTTATTTAAATGAATGTTTCGGTAATAATATTCAATTGGTTGCAGACAGAGATGACACACCAGGAACTGACCAAAGCTCTGGCCCAGCAATGGCACGAATTGTCGGTCACTGCCAAACAGGTGCACATCATCTTTATATTTGATAATTTACTGGACAATTAATTTCAATTTTGTAGATATATATACCGGTATATGATATACGGTAGTACTGCATAAGAGGTTAAATATAATATTTGTATAATAACTACATTTGACATAATCATAGGTTTACTACAATCTGTTTAATAACGATAAGATTCGCTATGAGAACGAAATGAAGATATTTGCCGCTAATTCTAACAAAGAGTCCGCAAATAAAACCATCGACTAATTGGACACTTAGTTAGCTTTGAAGTTATTCTTCAATCGTCTCAACTCTGCCATCGTTGCGATCGCATCGTCCTCTTTGTTGACCTCTTTTTGGACACTTTGGACGTCAACTCTCATGAAAGGGTTGGTCTTCTTCTCGGACCCTATTGTCGATGGAATCGTCGCTTCATTCCTTGAGCGCAAGTCCTGTGTATTATTGCCAATAATTGATTGAATAGTTTGTTACAAATTTTGATAAATAAATGAATTAAAACCTGAGTCCATAATAACTTTTCCTGAATGTCTTTGTTGTTTGGTTCAATACTTTTGGCAAACTTGAGATTAGTCTCCGTGTATTCGTGACCGCAATACACTTTCTATCATTTCAATTACAGTTTTAATACAGTCGTTGTATTCACAGATAACAACATTTCAATCACGTTCTTACAGTATTGTCGGGTAATTCTCTGAGCACTTCAACCAACGCTTTATGCATTTGTTCTGGAGTTCCCTCAAAGAACTTTCCGCATCCGCCAACGAATAGTGTGTCACCTTTAGTGCCAAATAAGTTTATGTATGACAACAACAATTGCAATCAATGCCTAATGAATACCTGTAAACACGAGAGGATCAGTGTTGGGGTCGGCACTAGAAGTAACAAAATAGCAAATGTGTCCCTTTGTGTGACACGGAGTGAACAGGCATTCAATGTTAAGCCCTCCGATAGTAAGCTTATCCCCGCCCTTAACCAACTTAGTCAGTGCTCCCACTCTTTCGTCTCCGCCGACAACAGTGAGCGACGGCATAGCTTTAACGAGCTCTGCATTTCCTCCCGAGTGGTCCCAATGGTGATGAGTAGTGAGGATTGTGGTCAACACCACATTTGCCTCTTTCACTGCATTCAACACTTTGTTGGGTTCGACCGGATCCACGACCGCCGCCTCTCTGGACTTCTCGTCGATCAATAGATACATATAATTGTCTTCAAGGGCTGGAAGTACTGAGACCTTCATTGTATCGGAATGGGTGACAGACTTGGGTTGACTGTGGAATGTCTTTCGACGCAAAAACGGCGCTAACAGTGGCAGCGCTGTCCGGGTTAACAGTTTCACCGATTTAAACATTTTCGCATTATTTCAGTAAAAAGATTTCAATTATTTGTTCTTTAATAGCGATTGCCATCTCTTATCTTATCTCTAATATTATCATTCATTTATAAACTGACAAAAACTACAAACTATTAAAGAACTGGAATTGCAATCAATTAACTGAATATAATTGTAATAAATGGGAGACAGAAGACAAGTATTTTAAATAAATCGATGTCTTTATTGAAGTCTTATAAACTTGAATACAATGACTTATCGCTACTCGGCTTCGTCCACATTCTCGGTCTGGAGGCCCTTGAATGAGGGGACGGCCACGTGTGTCACCAAAGTGTACAACTTGTTGGGACTGTCCTCGTCCTCATTGCGGCGTCGGGCCAGTCGTACCCTCACCCGGTAGGGCACGTTTCGAATGCCCTTCGACCATAAGTACTTATTGAGACGCGTGTCGATCCTGACGTCCACTGTTCCCATGTGTTTGGAGGCGAATCTGCGGATCTCTTTGATGGCTCGCGGGGCCTTCTTCTTGAAGCCCACCCCGTGGAGGCGCTTATGCAAGTGCACCGTATACTCCCGAGTGATCACCTCATTCAGCGCTGACTTCGACTTCTTCTCGCTCTTCGGTTTCTTTGCCATTATATGTCTTCATTCGTCACATTGTCATACATTTTATACCATTAATTGATTGCAATTATAATTCAATGTAAACCTAATTAAGTGAATAAGACTTACCTTTTTGGACAACAAATTGCATTGAATTCAACACACGATGAGAGTCCACACGGAAAAGGAAGTCAACACACAGTGTGAGTGCAGTGCAGGCATACAGAGGGCGACACTTCACTCATCGCTCTCCACAATTGCACGCATTCTGTACGACACGAGTGTCTGTCTGACAGACACTTGCATTCAATGAACCAGTTCTCGCGCTTTTCACTAAACTTTCACCCAAAACTGATCCCATATTACAAGTTTGTAGTGAATACAAACCATAAGTACCATGAACATATCAATACTAGTTTAGCACCATGTCATTGGATTGACATGACTATGATAGCACTTATTCTAATACAATATTCGTTGTATACCTTCAATATTCTAGCAGTCAGTACAGTATATGCCGCTAATAATAATACTACAGTATTGAAGAATTTTATTGATACTCATCGGTAACATAATTGGTAATCCATTGATAATATAGCATTCAATCTATACTATTAATGACAATTATGTCCGCAGAGGATATTATTGTTAATACAGTACAGTTGCACTATAAAAAGGGTTTCAATTCAAATTATACGGTATATAGATTAAAGTAGTTAGACTAGCAATTGTAAGTGAGTGCATATACAGCAATATATGGTCATATTAGATTAGTTGTAGTATTTGGACAAATGGTCACATATGCACTTCCAGTGTCCACTCCCTCCCCATTGGACTCATGTGCGAATTAATGGTAAAAATAGAGTCAATGAAATCGGAAATAATTTTATTACATAATAAAATATTTGAGACAATGATTAAAATGAAGAATCAAATGGATCTCTAAATCAAGAGCTTTTCGATCTCGCGCTGAAGTGTCTCGATCTGAGGCTTGAGTTGTGAGCCCTCGTTGGTGGTGATGGAACAGGCGATCACCTGTCGGGCCACTCCACACGCCCGACCCAACGCGTGCTTAGACATGACGAAAACGTAGGGCACGTTCTTATCCTCGCAAAGAAGCGGCAAAT